AAAATTTAATTTAATGAAGCACAAGGGGTGCTCCTTCCCATATACAAAAAATGGAAACCACAACAGAGGAGGGCCAATCTCCTAAAAACCAACGAGTAATACAGCTTACAAATCACAAACAAAAAGCCACAGGTGCCCAAATACTACATATTGAAAACAAAACAGCCCCGCCTAGCCATCAACTTGGGGGCACGCAAGCTTTATAGAATTGCTTCCTCAACCTTTTATGGTTTTTGACAGACGTAGCACACTCCATTGGGTAAGTTTGCCATTCGTAAAAAGAGAAAACACAGCCATTAACTTTGGATTTTATCCATATAAATGTTTTAACTTGCACCCTTTCCAGCAGGTTTTCTGGTAAACCTTCATCTTTTCGAAACACTTGAACATTCCGTCTATACCATAGGTACCAGGCGACCACTAGAAAAATACATGAACCCACCTCTTTTCCCACTATGCTGCCCAAACTTCCAACGAAAAACTCTGCCATTCCCCCTACTGTATTAGGCAAAACAAACTCCAAACCCCACCAACTCAACACCTGAGTCCAAGCTAACCAAGCATTATAACATAAACAAAATAAATGGTTAACTTCCTCCACCTTCCCATTACAAAATTCGCAAAGTACCCCCTCCTGTAACAATATCCCACATTTTTGCAAGTTTTCTTTTGTTGGGAGTCTATCTAAGCACAAACGCCACCCAAAAAAAGCCACTTTGGATGGCACCAATCTGCACCCTATTAATTTGCACATCTGGTCCTCCAAGACTCCCTCCGTAGTAGCTAAAAAATCATATGCTAGCTTCACCCCATATTTGCCATCCATCCCATGTACCCACTTCCAAACATCCCCTGCCCCCTCCTTTAGTTTGACACCCGCCAGCACCTTCTCCAACAGCTCCTCCTCATCTTTCTCTCGCCCTATTGTACCCCTCCTCCACTCCACCCGCCCTAAACAAATCTAAAATCTTATTCAATCCTTTTTTTGGCAAAACAATTTGGTTGGTTATGGGTTGGCTTATGAATTTTTTTTTTTACAAAAGTGCTATTACTATGTACAATATGACCTAATATAAATATGTTATTCATTGTTTAGGAACTTGGTCTGAATTAATTGGTTCAATTGGAACTAGCTAGTTTTAAAAACAAGTTGGTTCATGATATTAACTTGGTAACCAATTTTTTAAAAGTTGAACTAGAGGTCAAACCATTTTGGCCTCCAATTTTCAATTTAATTGGTTTAGTTGGTAAAAAAATTGGTCTAATATTGTATGACATAATAAATATTTAATTGGGCAATATGAATCAAAAAAATTAAAATGGCTCCACCAATAAGAAATGTGTTTGGCAAATACAAGCTCGAATTTCTTAGTGACAATATAGTTTATATATATCTATATATATATATATTTAAATTATAATAAATATAGAATTACAATCCACTTATATATAAGTTCTACATATTATATTTACATAAAATTTTATTTATCTCTCTATTTTTAAATAGTTGAAATTTATTTATATTTATTAAAAATAGTTATCTTTTTTACCTAAAAACTCATGATAAATCTCAATTATTGAAAGTGAATAAATAAATTATCAGAATTTTATGTAAGTTTAGTGTGTAAATTTTGTGTATAAGAAAATCAATTCTCATAAATACAATATAATGAAATGAAATTTGAAAAAATGGCTTAGGTCTAAGGAAGAAAGTGACCTTTCACAAAAAATGGCTTAGGTCAGAGAGGGAAAAGAAGGGGTAATGAGAGTGGGGGAAGGAATTGATTGGGTTAGTATTTTAATTAAAAATGTTATAATTATAATATTATATGATATTATAAATTTATAATATAATGTGTTATTATATAATTTATTTTTTTATTATAAATTTCCTCCACACATTGTGTTCTTTCATTAGTTTTTATTTTTTTTATTTATTTTTTTATTTTTAAGTTTGAGCCTAAAGTCGTAGCCACACACTAAGGGGTTATTTGGTTGGAAGGTCGCTTTTCCTCCTAAAATTTTATTAAACTTTTCTTTTATAAAATTATTTATTTATTTTTACATATTAAGATTATAATCAAAAATAAAAATAACATTTTTAACCCTTATTTTCTCTAACATAATTCTCAATTTGTAAATTTTTTTTATACTTTTTGAAAGAAAAATCCAATTTTCCTTATGTAGAACCCATTTGACAACTTTCCTTATATTAATTTTTTACCAAATATAAAAAAGTTAATAACTCAATAAAATTTTAATAAAACTTTACTACAAAATTTATTAACATTTCGTACATGACTTATAAACTTTCTTATAGTACTTTTCGAATACCAACGATCTGTTAGGCCAAGTGGAAGGAGTTCGGTTCCCTTTAAGCAAGGTCTCGAGTTCGAGTCTTGTGAATGGAGAAACAGGCGCTGGGAGAGCTTCCCCCCTAATGGGGTCTGACGCGGCTCGATTCCAAATTAGTCGGGACCCAAAGTGGTTACCGGACACTAGGAGGTTAATACCAAAAAAAAATAGTACTTTCCGAATTATATTCCCAATAAAAATTTTCCTAAAAAGGTTACCCTTTAACTAAACCAACCCTAAAAGTGTTAAGGCCAAGGCCACACAAACTTTAATCTTTTAATTTGTTTGTTAGTTATAATATTTGAAAATACCACTGTATAGATTAATTTTAATATCTTAAGTAATAAATTTTAGTTGCTAATGATTTTAGTATTTCAGTGTTAATTTCTTTTTAATAGAAATAAAAGATCTTGAATTTGAGTATAACATGTGAGTTGGGTGGATATAAGAGATTGCTTTCCATCATGCAACTGAAAATTAAAAAAAAAATATTAATTATTTTGTTATTTATGAGTTAACAATTACAATTATCAATTATTTTTAATAATCTTGTACCTTAAGCAGTTACCAATTTGTTACATGGTTATAACCATGCCTATAAGTTTGTCTAATCAACAATTTTCAACTAGAAAATGTGAAATATCTAGAGGTCAACTTTATTGAAAAAATTTTTATTAAGAAAATTATTAAGTATTGCACTAAAATTTGATAAATTTTGTAATAAAATTTTATTAAACTTTTATTGAGTTGTTAATTTTTAGATAATGATTCATGTACTTGCCGATTCAACACCCACTTGATCACAATCCTTAAAATATACATTTATAACTTGGTTAGAAATAAAAGATGAATATCTTAACCCCCCCAACCATTCACCCATTATTCCTTGCTCGAAACATATGATGACAAGAACCTGGTTTTTATCTCTCAACTAGCTGCCTTACAAGTCATGGGCGGAGCCACATGTAGACCAAAGGGCCATTGCCCCCTTTGGATTTGAAAAGAAAAATATTATATATAATTAATTTATTAATTATTATTATTAAAAATTTAAATATTAATTTTTAATTGTTAAAATATATAAAATTTAAAAAAGATCCAATAATAATTAGCTGTTTTAGGAGTCTAAATATAATTTATATAATCCATTATTCATTTTAATAATTTAATAATTCATTATTATTTAAAACTCACCAATCTCAAGGCCCACAACTGAATTATGTAAAAAAAAAAAAAA